TGAAGTCTAAAAACGATAGGTGATTTTTATTTATTTCCTTTTTCTTTTTCTTTTTTCTTTTTGTTAACTACAATGATTTTACATCCTGAATTCATTCTATTTGGTGTAATCATACGTTTTTTGGTTCTTGATTCGAAATTGATGTGTGTGTGGTCGGTGATTACTACGATTAGAAAATGATATGAAGATCGATCCTTATGATGAGATGAACGGACTGGTTATTTGAGATATGTCCAGGGGCATCACGTTTTCAGGTAAAATGAAGCTTATTTATTAGTCATGAGTAGGTGGCATGTCTATATGCTAAGTTTTATAGTTATCTGGAGATGGTTCTCACCACATAAAAACACACCCTCTCCATGCTTATGAGAGATACAAAATTATTTAGTTGTTCATCTGATATTTAAAATAACAAGTTTGGACTATTTGAAAATATCTTGAAGGTCAAAATTGAAATAACTGTTTGTAAATTTACAGGCAAAGTACAAGTTTCTTCTATAGTTTGGACTGACATAGTGAAACTTGAGCAAGTTTAGAAAGGTTGAATAACTTAGCTACGATAATAGTTTTTAACCTCTCTCTCCTTTAAATATTGTATTGTTAACTTAAATCTCTATGAAATAAGCTTAATGTTTTGATTTTATATAGGTGGAGACATATATTATGAGAGAGATTTCTGGGGAGCATGTGGAGGAAGTGATGTATATTTGGCTCCATAGTGCTTATCTTACTAATCTTATATTTTGTTTATTATAAATGTTTTTTTTTCAGAATTTTGGTTCTTTGCTTAAAAAAACATAAATATGTCACTTTTGGTGCATTTGTTACTGACCTATGTCACTGGCTTTTGCAAAACAAATGCTAGAAATAAGTGTTCAATATGTTGTTCTGATTGTTTTGAAGTTCCATTTCATTAACTAAAGCTTTCAATCTGGATATTTTTTAGATCAGTTATAGGTGTGGAGATTAGTAAGGAATCCAAGCTAGCTTTGGAGAATAAAATGACCGATTACCAAATTCCATTGACACTTCAATTGTGTAGTCTCGAATTCTTCATATGCATATTTTATTATTGTTTACATTATGGGAAAATACTAAATGTAAATACAACAATACTCAGATAAATTTCTGTATTTGCTTATGTATAATATCTCTCAAGGACCACTTTCTTGGCTGTGGGGTCAGAAGTTCTTGTGGTTGACCTTGACCCTTTTAGAAATGGCCTGGCCCATATTTGAGTAGAGTGCTTTTACATGCCATTAGATCAGCAGAGTGTAACCAGACACTTGGAAAGTTAGAAATACTCACGAATTAGTTGACTTTTGTAATTAACTTTTTAATAAGTGAATAATATAAAGTTACAGCGTGGTTTTTTTTTCTAGCCCAACCGTAAGTCAAAAGATGAAAAAAGACATTGGATTTTATGAGCAAGAGAAATATCCAATTGAAATTCCAAGTAGAACCACACAAGAGAAATTTGTTCATTACCTCAAACACTTACATCTATAGTTGTGGTTGGGAAAGCTTCAAAGACGTACTAATCTAGATCTCATTCTTTCAAAAATGATTAATTACTACGATACTCTTTTTGACTTTATTTATCAATTTAACTTTAATAAGCTTTTTAAATGTGTATTTATGGGTGGGTTGCAGAATTGCATGAACTTACTTTCAATTAATGCCTCGCATTTGAGTAAAGGCCCATGGTTTCAATCTCTTCCCTGGTAACGAGAGGTATGCATGTTTCTTATTAAGACATTCTACTTGAAAAATCTACTCAATTATAACATTTTACTTATGGATTAATAATCGTTTTTAAAGAGAAATTTATATGAATGTTCAAAAATGATCTTTCTTTCATTTTATGTAAACCATGTTTGACAATCATAAAAAGATCCAACATTTTTATTTTTCTTTTTTCAAATCCTATGTTTTTAACAATTTAAATGCATATCTTTTTTATTTGGTGCTAGATTATTCATGTGTGATGTTAGGAAAAGCGATTGACATGATATCTATTGAAAATCTAAGAAATTATGTAGTAATGAAGGCTTGAAGGATATGGGATCAATTAATAGGCATTTTCCTCCATGAAGATGCAAGTATTATGAGTATGATCATGAAGATGTGGAAACAATAGGAATTTTTAAAGGATTATGTTGAAGATAGTGGAAATATCACATTGGAAGAACAAAAAAGTGCAGTTAAAGAAGATGGTGGTGATGAGGTTTCTTATTCTTGGCTCTGATAAACGACTGGATGGCATGAAAGGCAAGATTGATTTGGAGTCAAAAGAAGATGGGTGAAGAATGAATGAAGTAATAAATTAAAAGAATTGGAAAATAATAGTTTAAAAGGGTACAACAAATTTAATAGAAGAAAGTACGTGTGAAGCTTAATTTCTAAGCCTAATGGATTCAACGGAAGGACATTCGTCAGCCCACGTTTATCAGGCTAGAAAAATGACAATTGCCCAGTGATGATGCTTATTCTCGGCCCAACATGCTTAATCGAAAGATTTATGAATGAGAAAAAAAAAATGCAAATAAAGAAGAAAAATGAGTATAATGGTTTGTTTAATGCCAAATATTTGGATAATCAACGAATCGAAGGATGAAATGTATTTTTTTATAATCCCTGATTTTGAGCATTTAAAATTTTAAGATCTTAAACTCCTTGGCTGCTTGCTTTGATTTTACTATTTATTGGCAAACACTTGGGAAATTTTGAAGAACCTATGCGATGCCACTTATTAATCTGTAAAAAATTAGATGAATATCTTTTGTAGTTTTCTTACATTTAACTTTGTTGGATTATATGTTTTGGGGCTGTTAGAAGAATATGGTCCATGTTTGTGGTAGTTATCATGAGTTTGTCCAATTTTTATTTCTAAAAAGCTTAAAATTAATGTCATTAACCCTATTCACCTATGTACCTATGTTTCATTAGTTTTAATTTATCTCATACATTGATTTTTATGGTTTCAAAAGTTCTTCAATGGCTGGTTTTTAGTTTTTATTTATCTACATATATTTGAATTTGTTGCCTATCCTTTAATGATAAGTCGCCATATGGATTATATATGTTTTTTTAAAGTATCAATCCTTAAAATACAGAGGTTTCTAACCTATTAATTCTAAATAAATATGTTTTGAAATCATATTACATATTAATTAAAAACAATGATGATAGACTTATGAACGAAACATTTGAATTTATATAAAAATAATTGTTTGCAAGTTCATGATTAATTATTACAATTTTTATAGTCTATTTAAATTTATATTGCATTGTAAATAATCATGATTTTATCAGATATTTAAACCATACACCGTAGATCGATATCATAACAATGTATATATTAATTTTAATTAATTATTATAAACATATAAATAAAAATCTATCTTTTTTAAATTAATAATTTTTTGCAAACTGTGAATAGTCGTGACAATTTGAAATTATCAATAATGTTTTTCTTTTTCAACCGTGATTTCCATGGGTTTTAAACCTAGTAGCTTAATAAAGACATGTCTATATTATATTAATTTCTTTTTATTTAATTTTTAGAATATTGACACCACTCTTAACAAATTTGTGGAAGTTATATTTGGAATCCTAACCAAATATGAGTTTTAGTTTTCTATTATGATTTTTGTATTGGTTTATGTGGTAATAGGTAAAGAAAAAAAGACTTTAAATATGATAATGAGATGTATATTGTTAAAGGAAACTTGCTTTGATGGTTAAATAATAAACAAATTTCAAAAAAAAAAAAAAAAAAAAAAAAAAAAAAGTAAGATCTAATGAAAAAAAGTGGGTCCCACCATTATGGCAGGCTACAAATACCCAACAATCCTTTACAATCGACCCATCATCCCCTTTCTTTCCTCTATTTTCACTTCACCATTATCACTTCCTAGTCTCTCTCTCTCTCTCTTCTCAGAAGCTAACACAACACCCAAACCCACACTCAAAACAAATTCTTTTTTTCATCTTTCGATCAAAGATTTCATTTTTTAAACTGGGATTCTTTTTCTTTCTTATATTGCTGAAAGTTGATAAAGATCAAGAAAGATGGTGGATGTTGATCGGAGAATGACTGGCTTAAACCCTGCTCATCTCGCTGGTCTCCGTCGCCTTTCCGCCAGAGCCGCCGCATCATCACCCTCAACCCCACTTCCAGCTCGTAACAGTCTCATCTCCTTCACTTCCCTCGCCGATAAAGTCTTAACCCATCTCAAAAACTCCGGTGTAATCGTTCAACATGGATTATCAGATAAGGAATTTGCTAGGGCTGAAGCCGAATTTGGGTTTGCATTTCCGCCGGACCTTAAAGCTGTTCTTTCCGCTGGTTTGCCGGTGGGTCCTGGTTTTCCAGATTGGCGGTCTACTGGATCAGCTCGACAACAGCTACGCGCCACCCTAGACCTACCAATCGCCGCCATCTCTTTTCACATCGCGAGAAACGCTTTATGGTCGAAGTCATGGGGTGTACGGCCGTCGGAGCCGGAAAAAGCCATGAAGATAGCGAGGAACGCTTTGAGACGGGCGCCGCTTCTTGTACCAGTTTTTAATCACTGCTACATTCCGTGTAATCCGTCGTTGGCCGGAAACCCCATTTTTTACGTCGATGAAAACCAGATTTTTTGCTGTGGATTTGATCTTTCGGATTTCTTCGACAGGGAAAAATCGACGTTATTCACGAAGTCCGATTTACATAAAGTAATGAAACAGCGTTCTGTAAACGAAAAATCTAGCGGAATGTTATCGAATATTTCTCGAAGGAGTCTAGACGCGGTTGCCGGCGGAAAAACTCCGAGATGGATTGAGTTTTGGAGTGACGCCGCCGTCGACCGCCGGAAGAGAAACTCAAACTCATACTCAAATTCATCTTCTTCATCATCCTCTTCCCCTGACAGATACTTTGAAATCCAAAGATCCGGAATCCCGAAATGGGTGGACACATATGTACAGGAGATCGGTTCTGTTTTAAAAGACGGTGGATGGGCTGATTCCGACGTGTCGGAGATCGTCGACGTTTCTTCTTCCGGCTTCTTCGACGGCGAGATGGTGTTACTAGACAACCAAGCCGTTCTCGACGCTCTTCTTCTTAAAGCAAATCGGTTATCGGAATCTCTCCAGAAAGCTGGATGGAGCTCCGAAGAGGTCTCCGACGCCTTCGGATTCGATTTCCGAAAGGTAAAAGAGCGTAAACCGGCGAAGAAAATATCACCGGAGCTTGTGGAGAAGATCGGAAAACTTGCTGATTCTGTCTCAAAATTTTGACGGAGTCACCGCCGGAGTTACCGGTAACGGACAGAAAATTAGATTCTTTGTTTTCTTTTTTTTTTTTTTTTTTTTTTTTTTTTTTTTTTTTTTAAATATACATTAATGCGAAATGTATAATAAATTTCGTATAAAGAAAAAAAATTATTACTGTGTACTACTAATTTTTTAATTGCTCAATCCACCCATACTTACTATGTCGTTATACGTCAAATAAAATATAGATATCAAATAAATCGTACTTGTACTTTACTACTTATTTTAAGTAACGCTCTTTTTAATCAAATTTTCTGTCTTTCAAACATTAATGTAATAATGACTTTTGTATATAATATACGCATTATAATTTATTATTGTTTTGCTATTTATTAGTGATAATAATTTATGCCAAGAAGGAAGTCGTATGCGTGAATATGTGATATAAATTTGTTTAAATTTAATAAAATATTGAAAAATATTTATACTAATAAAGGAATGCACGTGTGGGGGGCCTTTTCTTGAACGAAAAGACGTTATTGGGTTTCTTCCAACGTATGGAAATCGAAAAAAGCAAACAGTGGGAACAACCGCAACGATGTCGTTTAATTATGATGTTGCATTGGAACCTGTGACATTTTGACGGAAAAAGCAAAGTGTGATCTTGGGGGTGGGTTGTGTGTTTACACTTAATGCACCTCAAGTCTTTGCTTTTTTAACTTATAACCACTTAAATTAATTTTGCTTTATTTGTTGTTGTTTGTGTGTTGTGTGCAAGGGGTAGGGGACCTTATTTCAGGTGGTGTGTGTGCTACTGAAAAAGGTCATTGTTTGGGCAGTTTAACTTTGAAAACCGGAAAACAATCTATTTGGGTCTACTTGGGACCATGTAATCTTTGTCGATGAGAAACAATGTGGCTTTGTAGCCAAGTTTTTACTTGAAAGGAATTGTTCAATTCAATGATCTTTGAGTTGTCACATACCTCTAAAGTACATAGTGCTCACCTTTTTATAATATTATGAGATGTAAATCATGTATATAACAGTGTCATGATCATGATGTGTTATAAATGATAAAACAAATATGATGAGAACCCATCGATCATAACATGTCCGCTCATATACATATGATAGTCCTTGAGTTACGTTAGACTCGGTGAAAACACGAGAGAAAGCCCCCATAAAAATAGGTTTAGATAAGAAAAAACTTCCTAAATATCATATACAAAAGAGGCCTACTAGGAATCAAACTAAGGTAAGAGGGTATCCTAAAAGCCTGTGTACTCTATCCAATTGGTCTGGATCAATGATTATACAAAAGAGCTTGAGGTAAAAGTGTAGGTCAGGAAGAGTCGAACACACTCAAGGATTATACAAAAGAGCTTGTGGTAAAGTGTAGCTCAGAAAGAGTCGAACACAGTCGAACAAGTATATTGACTATCAATGAGGCGCTCTTAACCTTGTGCACAAAAGATTTTTTTTTTTTAATAAATGCTAATAACATTATATATATATATATAATATAATGTTACTCGGTAAATATGTTGATTTTCATGTTTATTTTTTTCGGGACTCCGTACGATACGATGTAACACTTTGAACACCTCTAAAGCCAGCTTTGCATATACATTAGAATTGAAAACATACGGACTATTGAATTTGGAACCATATTTGTTGTTTGAAGTTGGGTTAATTATTGTTTTAAACTAAAGTTAAATACATATGTTGTTTATTTATTTATTTTTGTGACTGTATTGCAAAATGGTAATTGTTTTTGAGCGCGACACTTTCTAACCTTCTTAAATTTAGTTTCAACCCCCTGACACTTTTTAAAAAGAGGTCTTTTCGCCATGTGTTAGGCTAAAAAGCCGTTGGTTGCAAAATTGTAAATGATATAGTAGAATATGATGGGACATGAGAGGAAGGCTTAAAGAGCATGTGAGATGAAGGGGGAGAGTCCACACTTCTCCGTACGTAGCAGCAGATCCTTTTGTTTTTTAGCTGCTTGCCTCATTTGACAATTTGTTTTGCTTTCCCACCCGTTTTTTGAAAAAATATATTTAGATATCTTATAAATTAAATATGAGTAGATTACAGAAATGGTCCGTATGGTTTGGCCATGGTTACAGATTTGGTCCACTCTTTAAATTTTTTTTATAAGTTGTATCTTTGTAGTTCTTAAATTTTAATGTTTCTGTCCCTCATGTATAATGACGATATTACCCTTATATATATTTGATTAGGCCGTTTTATTATCTAAATAAATGATTATTATTACTTTAATAACATGTTTCACCCATACACATCTCTTACTACCAGCCACACTACTCGTTCTCTGTATCATATTCACCTCACCAGATTTCATCCATATTTTCTCTTTTGCTGATGAGTTATCGGTTGCCATATTTTCGGTGACACTACAACAAATATTGCAAAACTCGTTATGCGTTTCAAGGGAGGTCGACTAGCGAGTAACGAGGATTCAGTGTAGGTGGGGAGTACTCAGAGAGTATTTGGATTGGATAAATTATATGAAATTAATTTTAGGAAAATTATATATATAACAAATATCACAAGTTTATTAAAATTTAGAATAAAATATATGAATATCAATAACAATTATAACTCTTTAGATCCAGAACTTATAACCACCAAGGGACCTCAAGCATCCAAAAAGTTGCCAACTTTATGAACCTAACCATTCAAAGTCTCAAACACAAGGAGAAAAGGTACAAGAAACCTAGATCTAGAAGCATGAAATATAAAGCTTGGAACTTGAGGACTTACAAAAGTCCATAATATGCACAAAGATGTGATGAGGAGGTTAGCTTGCTATATTTATGCACCACGGGCTCCTTCTTCTTCTTCAAAACACCAAAAATGCCACCAAAACCTCTCAAATGACAAAATGAATGCTAGGGTATCTTGAGGGTGAAGGGGAGGTGATGGAGGGTGAGGGTGAGAAAACTCTAGCCATCATATCCATTAAGTAGGGACGTAAGCCCGAAAATTAGGGTTTAGCAATTTGACCTTCCCCACGTCGTGGCCAACATAATGCCACGTTGTGGGATCTTAAATGAATACGTGATTCTTCTGGCCATGGCCACGTCGTGGAACATCCTTTACCATGTCGTGGCCAACACAAAATTCTTATAATTGAAATAAAACCTTAAAAGAATTATACCTAAAACTTGGTGTTACAATTCTCCCCCACTTGAACTAGATTTTGTCATTGAAATCCTCAAACTGCAAATAGATATGGGTAGTGCTTACACATCTCCGACTCGGGTTCCTAAGTCCACTCTGAGCCCTTCCAGGGTTGCCACTGCACGTTGACCAAGGGTACGACCTTGTTTTGCAAGGTTTTCATCTTTATATTAAGGATCACCACTGGTCTCTCCACAAAGATTAGGCACTCATCGAACTAGATGTCGTCTAATGGAACTATTGTTGTATCATCCACCAAGAAATTTCGAAGCTAGGAAACTTAGAAAGTGCTATGAATATGATGCAGCTCCTCATGCAGATCTAACCGGTAAGCCACCTTGCCTCCCTATCCACAAATCGAAAGTGTCCAATGAAATGATGGACCAACTTGCACCCCTTCCTAAAGCGTATAACACCTTTCTATGGTGATAACTTCAGTAAAACCACAACCCCGACAGGAAACTCCAACTCAGACCATCACCTATTAGTATAAATCTTCTGTCGGCTCTATATTGTCTGTAACCTCTGCCCGATCTGCTGAATAGGATCTGTCATCTGGAGTACCACCTCGATCCTCCGCATGACCCTGCGGCGACCTCTCCCCAACTAACTAGAGTTCAACACTTCCTCCCATATAGAAGCTCATATGAAGGTGCACCAATGCTGGGGATGATAGTTGTTGTTGAACGAAAACTCAGCTAAAGGGAGGTAGGAGTACCAGCTCCCACTAAAATCAAAGACGCAAGTCCTCAACATATCCTAGAGCGTCTGGGTGGTCCACTTACTCGGCCCATCTGTCTAATGGTGATAAGCAATGCTGAAATGCAATCTAGTACCCAACTACTCATGAAACCTATGCTAAAACCGGGAAGTGAATCGAACATCTCGGTCAGATATAATGGAAAACAACACACTATGATAAGCAACGATCTCGCGCACATAAACATCGACCAATTTCTCGGCCGAAGAACTCTCATGAATCGCAAGGAAATGGGCACTCTTGGTCAGGCGGTCAACAATTACCTAAATGGAGTTAGATTATAATATCATCAATGAAAACAATGATTATCCGATCGAGCATCAGCCTGCATACCCAATTCTTCAAAGCCATGAATGTGGCTAGTGCATTGATGAGCCCAAACGACATCACCACGAACTCAGAGTGCCCATATTGAGTCCGAAAAGCAGTCTTCTCCACATCCTCCTCTCTGAATCTCATCTGGTGGTAACCCGACCTCAAATCAATATTGGAAAATCAATATGCACCCCACAACTGATCGAAAAAGTTTATCAATTCTCAGGAGTGGGTAACGGTTCTTCACCCATCAATTTGTTCAACTCCCAATAATCAATACACATACGATGCAAACTTTCCTTAATATTCACAAATATAATTGACGTGCCCCACGATGAGCTACTCGAATGAATAAAATCCTTACCCAGTAGCTCCTAAAGCTGTGAGGATAACTCCTACATCTCGGGTGGTGCAAGGCAATACAACACCTTAGCTATCGGAGCCGTACCTGATATAAAATCAATCCTAAAGACAACCTCCCTCTCGGGAGGCACACCCGAAAAATCATTCGGGAACATGTCAGGGAACACCCGAAAAATCATTCGAAGAGCACTAAAGCAGGTAATGAGTTTACTAAGAAGGTACTTAGCATAGACAAAAATATAAGCATCCAGTAAAATATGTTAATAGAAAAATGAATGAATACTTAATTGTAATGACATCTGGTGCCGTCCTAGCCTCCTCTACAGTCAAATGAAACACACGAACACTGGCCTTCAGGGCTTCAGTCCTCCCCTGGTAT